AAGCTCTAAACGCGAGAGCTTTAAAACCTAACAATTGCGTCTGCGCTGCTCCTCGGTCAAAGAAAGAAATACATTGCATAACAAAAAACCTTTCTTTTTTTGGGCTTAAAAAGTATGTTGCTGCTTGTGTACTGTCTATATAATTATAATAGTTGGAACTCATATGGAAAACTATTTAAGAAAACCAATTTAATTGCAATTTACTTTGAATTTTTTTACGTGACTTTGATCCAAATTTAATATTTAATGATTAAAATTTAATTTGAAAATTGTAATGGCAAATAAAAAGTTAATTGCAGCATGTAACGCTTGAATAGTTCTACACATTCAAATTTAAAATCCTTGTGCATAATGGTTCTCACCCTGCATTGTACCAAGATTTAAATCTTAATTTTTAATAGCCATTCATTTATGTTATTAGATGGCTTGATTTCATAATATTTATAACTTACTTAATATGCTGAATTTATCTCATCGAAAATCAAATTTTCATTACATTTATCTGCTGTTATGTTTTCACTCAACCATGCAAGTAAAGTTAATTTTAAGGAGCATAGTGTTCATTTCCATTTATTATAAAAAACCTAATTAAGACGGAAAAGAAGGGGTTGGGAATGAGTTTATCTTCTTTTCCTGCCTCCAGTGGAACGGTGTAGCAACAGGTCGCCCGGGTTAACGTGAACCCTACCCTTTGTAAAACAAGTAAGTTGTTTCGAATAATGTCCGAGAAATAACTAAGCAGAAAACTACGAACTTAAATAAGTTAAAAATAAAGATAAAAATTAAGCTAAAAAATTAAGTAAGATTTAGACAAAAATAATAAATTTAGGCAAATACTCTAATAACTGCAGGTCTTTAGACTTTTTTTCATCTTCTTTTCTGTAAATGAGATAAAAAGACAAATATTATATAATTCATGTATAATTTCAGAAATTTATTTAACTTTAAAATATCACGATTGCCAGCTTTCATGCACGAAAAGCAGATGCACATATGTTATGCGAAATATTTAAATAATTTCCAATTTAAGTTATGTGAAATATTTAGCTAATTTCCAATTTATTACTTTGTAAATACTCTCTTACTAACAATCCAGACATTCTGTAAAGTTATATAACTTAGTCTTACTGTGATCAGGCATGATATAAATGCTGCTCACCTTTGGCGCTCTAAATCTACCTGCATTCTTCATTTCCAAGCTTTTATTATTCTGCCTAACTGTTGTATAACCAGTGTTGCATCCAGGGACGAAATAGGTTGCATTATAAGACTTATTCATAATGGAAATTGATATCAAATCAATATTTTCAGTATTGCTGCCTAGGTCAAATACTACGACAAGACGAACCACTGGTGATTGCAGCACCCCCGATAAATAATGCGGCAAAAAGTGGATCATTTTGGGGAAAAGTAATAATACCAGTTTCACGTCCTTCATTATACTCCGTGCTTTTAACGAATTTTTGATTAACAAACTCAAGGATTTCAAAGCAACCAGTGGCAGCGTTGTTTAGTAAAAAACATTTTTATCTCCAGCACATGAGACTGTGTATCGGAATTTCTAAAGATATGCTCAATTATTAATTATTTTGCGATATTGCTCTTGAATTGAATTTTTATAGTTTAAGTGTGAACATCTAATAAATAAAGGTAATACACAAAATGTTAAAAAAACGCCCCTTTGGACATAATTTAAAATCTGAGATTTTTAGGTATAATTAAGTTATTTAGTCGTAAAAAATGTGAAGAGAACGTATATTCGATAGGAGTAGTACTTTCTGCACTGGTATCCTACTGCTACACCGTTTCACGGTCGACTGATGGCGGCCACCTGACGGAAATAACCAAGGAGGTTAATTCTAACCTCATTGTAAATAACGGAAGAAATTATCGGAAATAAAAAGCTACTGCTGAATGGCAACAGTGTGCTCCAGTTACGTCTGCTATTATCATTTAAAAGAACGTTTGGCAACAGTTTCGGACTGCTGTAATATGGACTTAGCTCTGTTTATATTCGAAATGAGTAATAAACGTACAAATGTGCATTAATCCCGTTAAATGATTACATAAGTAAACGTACGTGATATTTGGCAGTAATGGAAAGTTCAGAGGTTGCCAGCTCATATGGGGATGTAGATCGTAAGTTTTTAATTCCTTCACAGTTGATAAAAATCACATTAGTAAATAAGTGACTAAATTATAGCATTGCACTTTCAGTATGTCATGTACTGCCCTTTCTGTGTACACTTTATATGCTTGCACTTTCAGTATGCCATGTACATTCCGGATGTTTATGTCTTGCAATATTAATATAAAAATTAATTGTCTTTATAGTTGTTTTATATATTCGTGATATTTGGGTAAGTTACAAGTCTGATTGTTTTTTAGAATTTTTTTTAAACATAACCGGTGAAAAATGTATATTTAAGGGAAATTATTATGTAAGTTGTATTTTCTGTGATGAGGCAGTTTACAGATATTTTGGAAACACTGATAGTTGCGTTATTTAAATCTTTTGTTTTCCAAGACGATGTTAGTCTGTTATGTCATGGTTTATTAATTTATGAATTTTAAGTAAGATACCACTGTATACGTTTATTAATAATATTAATTTTTTTAAAATTTTTTTTCTGTGTTCTTGAATTAAAAAAAAAAGAAATTAGTTTTGGAATTTATTTAGCTGTTTTTCCTTTCCAAAAATAGTTTATTGTGTAATTCTTTTCATACATGTTTCCTGTTTTATGTTTCAGTTTCTATCTAATAACTTATTCCTTTTACTGGCTCTAGTGTAGAATTGGGTGCCCCTTCGATTAGCGACAATTTTTTGTAAAATTTTGGCGATGAAATCTTATTTCTGGTTACCATGATAGTGTAATTTCGCTTTAGCCTCCTGATTTTTTTAAAATAAAAATAGATTGATGTGTACATGGACAAATTTAAACAGTGCACAATGCCTAGTTTGTGCAATTCTGGGATGTTTTTTTTTAAGTGAAAACAGATCGATGTGTACATGGACACAGAGTTTATGCAATTCTTTACTTCTTATTTTGGTTTTGTGTAGTGGCCATCTTAAAATTGTGTCTTCCTGGCGCCGATCTTGGCATCAAAAAAGAATCGCCAAAAAACAAGGGGCACCCAATTGTAAACTTTTACCCTTTTACTATTCATACTATATTCATTGTTTATGAACGTTAAGAATTAGGTACTTGACCCTGCACAGAATTGTTAAGAGTTCATAACTTTTGCAAAATAATTTATTTAGAATAATGATAAAATTATCAAAATTGTTGATTAATTGAATTAATGTTTTACAGATCTTCTTCAAGTAAATGAGTTCTCTGCGTCAACAGCAGACGTTAAACAATTACAAGAAGAATTAAGAAGACTTCAATCAGAATTAGATGAATGTCGTTCATTAGTTACTGTTGCTGAATGTGAAAAAGAGAATGTGGTTGAAACGGAGCAGAGGAAACGAAAAGAAGAAGTTGCTTCAATTCAGAGGATTATGGAAGGTAAATGTTGAATTATTTGCTTAAAATTATTTAATACTGAATATTTTTAGGGATTTTTCTTCATCTATCTTTAGGGAATGCATCTAAATATTTAATTATTTGGCCATGTTAATGCTCTGCACTCGAAAGGTGACTCTCATGTACCATGTGATTAGATGCCGCAACTCGAGATGTGACGCTCACTCACCATGTGACTTGATGCCACAACTTGAGAGGTGACTCACCACTTGGTTCGATGCAGAAACTTGATATGTGGCAATAACTGCTTATGTTTAGTTTCTTTGAAGCGAGTTCCTAAGCTTTTTCTGTATGATCTTATGAAGTGTGAAATGATATCCCTTTATATGGAGATAAATTTTTTTAATCTGAAATCTTATCTTTTCTTATCTATCACAAAGTCTGTTCTCAGAGAAATAAACATAGAAAAAGGCATCAAACAACATATTGTAATACTTGTCCCAACAAGCCGGGCATACATCTTGGGAATTGTTACATAAAATACCAAGCACAGAAAAATTACAGAGACTACTATTTAAGAAATTATGTTTAAAATGGTCTAAAGGTATATAAAATGTTAAAATATAAATATTTTATACATTAATTTGTGTATGTAATGATTTTAAGTTGCTGGTAAGAAATGTGTCAAAAAGGCTGCAAAATGTCTCAAGTTTCTGATGTACCACACAAAAAAGGCCCCGATTGCAAAGGGACAAAAGTATTTTAAGAGTTCAAGGAAATTAGTTTATATTGATTGTATCATACATTTTTTATAAGATATTTGAATCCTCGAACGGCACAAATACCTCTTAGGACTGGAAATGCATCATAAACATGAAAGCTAGAATAATTATACTTTTGTTGTCATTCAGATTTTTCATATCCTAAACTAAAAAATTGATTTTTAATCCTAGCCTAAAAAACTGATCATTATATCCTAACCTAAAAAACTGATTTTTTAAGTTAAAACTTAAGCCTGATATTCAGTAGAAGTGTTTATTGTTTATTAAAAAAATGCAGTTGTAATTTTAGTGTACCTAGATTATCAGTGTCACCTTTTGGCAGCCCTGAGGGGCACAACTTCTAATTCTTCTCAAAATAATTAAAGAGTTCCTTGTTTAAGTGTTTATCTATATTTGCTCTTTAAATATTCCTTTCCTGATATATGTTTAACGTTTTCCTAAAGATTTTGTGAAAATATAAAAAATTTGAACCATTGATCAAATATTTTTTACTGAATTGTATTGAGAAAATTAATTTCAAATTTCGCAAATTTCTATTATGTACTTCATTTATTATATTTCATTTGCATGTTCTGAATCATATATTTTTTAAAGCTGTATTGTTAAATTTATCTTTTATTTAATGCAGTTTTGAAACTTTGCTGTAATTAAAAATTTAATTAAAAAAAACCTCTCTCTTTAATGGCTTCCTGAAAATTGGTTCCAATGGTTTATGGTCACTTTCAGCTGTAAAACATTTACCAAATGTATATTGGTGAAATTTTTCACATGCGAATACAAACCTCTCTCTATTTCTTATTCTTGTACAGAGGATTCAAGACGTTTTGCGATTCAAAAGTTTAAGAAATTTTATTATTCGGACTTGAGAAAATTTAAAATTCATCTTACCCCTCTCATTTTTCATTAATTTATGTTAAAGGAGTGCAAAATGGGTATATACTAAAATTATGTTCACTTTTCTATTTTTTATTGGAAATTAAAATTTTAAAAATGTGTTATGGGTGATATATTTGTGAATTAATTGTAATAATTTGATCATTGTCATATATGTAGCTATGTGAAACATGGAAGAAGTGAAAACAAAAATCCCAGATGTATGTGTTAGTGTATGGTAGTAATAATCAATTACCTGAAACTAAAGTAGCTATTTTATTGCATGTTATTAGTGAAGAAGTGCTTAGATTTAATACCTTTGATTTAAGTAAAGAAGGTAAGAAAGATGTTGAGAGAGTAATTGAAGCTCTTGAAAATTACTGGACACCAAAAGTAAACAAAAGTTGATATCTAATGCTCAATTTGTAGTTATTGTTTTTAAAGGTTGCTATATTATTTATGTTCATCACTAAAAATTTTGAACTACTTTTATATGCACCCTCGGGTCGGCAAATGCGGCGACAAATTTCTCGCCAAACATTTTTGCCGATAAACTCCATGCTGCCATATTACTATCTAAATTTTTTGTTTACATTTCGAACTTGTGTTACTAAAATGTTTCCAAAGTAGCGGTTTTTGCACATGCAAAAACCACATTTTAAACACACATTTCCAGTCCTAAGAGGTATTTGTGCCGTTCGAGGATTCAAATATCTTATAAAAAATGTATGATACAATCAATATAAACTAATTTCCTTGAACTCTTAAAATACTTTTGTCCCTTTGCACAATTTAAGCTAAAAATCTGAAACAAAAACAAGAAATTTACATAGCAAAAATGCAAAGTTTCTAACCAAAAATATTTGACAAGAATCCATGTACACAGCGATATGTTTTAACTTGAAAAAAAATCTACAAATTGCACAATCTAGGCAACGAACGAATCTACGTACTATGCACACCTCGCTTTAATAAATTAACATAACAACAATAAATTTAAAAGAATACTATGTACACAGCATTCTGTTTCAACTTAAAAAAAACATCTACGAGTTGCACAATCTGGGCACTATGCACTAATCAACAAAATAAACTAAAATAAAATTTAAACAATAAAAAAAACAAGAATAATGACAGAAATTCATACTAAAAAATAATGAAGATAACATTCTACAAAATAAAAACAAGAATAAAATAAAATGCACTTACCATGATTGAATGCTTTTTCAAACAGCAGAAATACCAATTTCATACTGCCTTTAACATGCTGCCATGCAATCACTATCATATTTGTATGACAGCCAGATGCACTATCCAGAAAATTCATACTATAGTTCACAAATAAATGTTCAAAATCTTCTTTTCCTAAATCCTTGTAAGATTTCCAGCCATCCGAAAAAGTAGTTGTACAAAGCTCAATCCACTCTTTAATACACTGTTTCAGCGTTTCCTTACTTCTATCATGCACAGCCACTAAAAGTAATCTCCCAAACCTTCTTGCAGCCACGTCTCTCATTGCAACATAGGCCATTTCAAAACACGCACGACATGAACCAATGAGCAATTAAATCACTCCAGCAAAAGAGTTTTCAACGTCAAAAGGGTTGCCATACAACACTCAATCATGCCCAAAACCAGCACAGAACACATATCGCCACATAGCCAAAATTTTTATGAAATTTTAGAGATATAGATGAGTTCAAATTTGTGGTAAAGTGCAGAATCGCCCACTTATTTGTTTAGTGCTTTTTAGAAGAGTAAGAGGAATTAGATTTTGTAAATTTTTAAGTGAAAGTAGGTCGATGTGTATATGGATAAAGTCAAGGGAGTGCGCAATGCCGTTTTTGTGCAATTCTCTGGGATGTTTTTTAAGTGAAAATAGGTCAATGTGTACATGGAAACCAAGTTTGTGCAATTCTTAAAAACGCACCAAGCAGTGGGTGATTCTGCACTTTCTCCCAAATATATATAGATGATTATACTATGGGTTAGGGGAAAAATAAAAAAGAACATGATTTAAGTTTAAAGAATGTGCTAGAAAGAGCCAGAGGAAAAAATGTGTAAGTGAATTAGAATGTTACAATTTAAATAAATGTAAAATTGGTCTGAATGAAGTTAAATGTGTGGGATATATATTTTCTAAAGATGGTTTAAAACCAAATGAAGACAAAGTTAAGGCTATTCTAAATATAAAACCACCAAAAAATGCCAAGGAATTAAAACCTTCCTATGAATAATTGCATGTGTTATATTTATATGTAATATATGAGAATGGACATCGTCTTTAAGAGAGTTGTTGAAAAAACAAGTTGTCTGTAATGGGAATGCAGTACATGTAAAAGCATTTAAGGCTAAAAACATCTTAAAACAATTTACTGTATTATGGTATAAACATGCCTCTAGTTTTATCTGAAGATGTATCTCAATAAGGACGATGAGAAATCTTACTGCAGAATAATTTACCAGTGGCATATGCATTTAAGGCATTAACAGATACACAGAAGAAATATGCTGCTATTGAAAGGAAGCTTGAGCTATTGTATTCACATGTGAAAAATTTCACCAATATACATTTGGTAAATGTTTTACAGCTAAAAGTGACCATAAACCACTGGAATCAATTTTCAGGAAGCCATTAAATAAATGTCCAGTAGGATTACAAAATGTGCATATAAAATTACAACCATATCAGTTTGATATGGAATATAAATGAGAAAAAGATCTTTTCATACCTGATGCATTAACAAGATCATTCACCGACAAAGGATCTGATTTTATTTTGAAGGAGACATGGAAGTCCATGTTGAAATGGTTATAGAAAATATACCAGTGTCTAATGGCTAAATGGAAATTTTTCAACTGGTAACAGAGAAAGATGAAGACCTATAAACTTTAAGAAAGTTAATTGAAATAAATACAAAGTGATGCCAGAACTGGCAAAACCATATTTTAACTTCAGAGGAATTATCAGAGGCAAATGGATTAACATTTAAAAATTCCTGTGTTGTTGTACATAGAAGTTTACTGAAAGGTATTTTAAGTTGAACTCATTATTTTTATTTAGGAGTAGAAAAATGTGAGAACAAAGCAAGAGAAACATTGTATTGGCCGATAATATCCAAAGAAGTTGGAGATTTGATTCTGAATTATCCAACATGTTTGAGTTCACAAAATTTCTAATAATAAAGAACCAACTGTATCTAAAGAAACACCTAATGGTCAATGGGAAGTACTGGGAATATGACAGAGATTATCTAATAGTTATAGACTATTTTAGCAAATATATAGAAATTGAACATTTGGAAGATCTGTCAAGTGTGCCAGAGTAAAAGCAATTGAAATAATTTTTTTTTTTTCCAAGGCCTGGTATCCTGAAAATGGTATATT